AGCCAGCATGGCTGGCTGCGGAATTCTGGGAGTTGAAGTCCACCCTTCTTAAAGTTGCCAAGGTTGAGAAACACTGCTCTACTGCAGCAAGGTTATTGTTTCATGGACAGAGTCTGTAAAGAAAGAGTCTGTGCGAAAATAAAAGAAAGCTGAACCTGCTTCAGAAAATCCAGCTTTGCCTCGCATGCTGGCAATTGTTTTAATGTCTACAATAGAATACAGAAATATCCCTGGAAAGGGTAATTTGGCCCTACCTAGTGGTGAGTGTGCTCAGACATACCCAGGGTGTGAAAAGGATGGCAACAGAGAGAAAAGTAGCCGCCTATGCTATTGCAACAAGGCATTGGGACCAATGTAGCTGGAAATTAAGCAGACAGTGAAAGGCCAGGACGTAATAAGGGAGAGAGAACAGTGCTGAAGTCCACCAGTGAAACACATTCACCCTGACTCTCAGGCTAGCCCAGTGTTTCTCAACCTTAGCAACTTTAAAATGTGCGGACTTCAACCCCCAGAATTCCCTAGCCAGTCATGCTGGCTGGGGAATTCTGGGAGTTGAAGTCCCCACATCTTAAAGTTGCCAAGGTTAGAAACACTGGTCTAGACTTATACAGGAAACAAAAAAAAAAAGGAAGCAGAGTAGATTGGAGCGCCTCAGTTTAGAACACAAATGATTCGGAGTGGGAAGACGGTAATTCTGAAATTTCCCTTGTATTTAAAAAGCAAAGAAAAGCCCAAATCTGTAAACAAAAAACGGGTCAGGTGAGAGAAAAAATGCAGCTAGTTTTCTCCTTGAGGTGCTTATGTATGTGTTTCACACTACTATGGCCATGCTTTGCTTAGCCACATATTGGTTCGTACAACATGCAGACTTAAACCATGATTTACAAACTACAGTGGCTGGGTTTGCCCAATATGCTATGCCAAACCAAACAAACCGCACTATGCTTTGGTGCATGTGTGAACCCAGGCTGTGTGCATTTGTGCAGGAGCAATAAAGACACTTTTCTTCCTCAACAATAAGTACTGCATGCTATGAACTCATTCCTTCTGTGGGCAAACCAAAACCAAATTTTACCCTGTTAATGGGTGGGAAGTGATGTTGCCAGTTTTGCTGAGCGAGATCATGTTTGCCACCCAACGTGGCTTCCTACCTTTTGGGGGACTAATGAAATTAAGATGTCCTGCTCTCCTTCCTGTTATTGGCATGCAATAAGAGCATTCTCACTTACCCAATACAATGAGTTCAGCGTAGTCTTCATTGTTGCCTTGCAAGTCTTGTGAAGATGTCACGGTGCAATAGTAAACACCGCTATCCCCCCAAGCAGTCTGCTCTATGCTGAGGTCAGCATCTGCAGGAAGAATGAGCAGAAGGGAAAAGGAATTGTCAAAATGGATGTCAAAATCAGTTCCTCAAATAGACGCATGTTCCTCATTCTTCAAACTGACTGCCTACATCAGTGTTTCTCAACCTTGGCCACTTGAAGATGTGTGGACTCCAACTCCCAGAATTCCCCAGGCAGCCATGCTGGGACTTCAAATCCACACATCTTCAAGTGGCCATGGATGAGAAACACTGCTCTAAATATTTGTTCAAGGTTGCACCATTGCAATATAGAAACATTAGGACGGTATGAAAAAAGAAATTATTTATGAACATCACAATAATCTGCTGAAATGCGCCCATGATAGAAAGAGTAGAGAAACAATAAGGAATGCCAAACAGTTATTATTTACCTACTTTCAAAAAATATTTCAAAATCCATTTCTCATTTCAATAAAGGAATGAATGTAGCTAGCCTGTTGAAATGTTTATTTATTGGTTAGGGTTATATCCTACCTTTCCTTCAGAAGCTCAAGGTAACAAACACAGTCCCATTTTTGCCCACAACAACCACTATGTGAAGTAGGCTGGGCTGTGAGAGAGTGACTAGCCCAAAGTCACCCAGTGTACTTCAGAAGGGGAACAGAACCTGAGTCTCTCACTCCAATTCAACACCTGAATCACTGCATCATGCTGGTTCTATTCCCAGCATAGCATAAGAACAGATTTAGATGTGAAACCTGGTTACTAATTCTTCAGTAGCACCATAACCAGCAGCTAAAATGTGCTATGGGGAATGCGGGGGCGCAGTAGCTTAATGACGCTGAAAGTTGCCGGCCAGAAATGGTCAACACTTCAGCGGTTCGAGTCCAGCCTTCGCGTTAACAGGGTGAG